ATTGCACCAGTGGCACTCAGGCAAGCTTGCCTTTGAATAGCACTGAGCCTTCGAATCACTCCAGCCTGTTGTGTCTTTGGCCACCAAACTACTGACCCATATGCTATCATAGGCCTGATGACGCTGGCATAGAGCCATGTGGTCATTTTTGGTTGCAGTCCCCAATTTTTCCCGCACATTCGTCTGCACAGATTGAAGGCTACTGTACTTTTTTGAACAGTTTTTTGTAGGTGTTGATTCCATGTTAACTTATGGTCAAAGATGACTCCTAAGTATTTTGCCTCTAGGGCGAACGGAATTTCTACCCCGTTGAGTACTGGTGACTTTAATCCTTCCAGTACTCTCTTTTTCGTGAAATTCACTATAGTGGTTTTATGAGGGTTCACGGTGAGTTCCTCCTCTTTACACCAATTGTCAATTATGTTTAGAGCGATTTGTGTGAGCTCCGAGACCGTACTTGCGAATCTACCTCTAGCGATAACCGCCAGGTCGTCGGCATATCCTAAGCAATAATACCCTTTGGATGTTAGCCTTTTGATCAGTTCGTCCATTAGAATGGCCCATAGTAGGGGCGATAATACTCCTCCCTGTGGGCATCCCCTATCTGCTCTAGCTGTCAGAGTTGTCTCGCCAATTGTGGATATGATAACCCTATTTTTCAAATTGACATTTATCCACTGGCACAGGAGTAGCGGTACTCCTTTCCTTGCTAGGGCATTAATTATAGAATTTGTTGATGCGTTATTGAAAGCACCTTCTATGTCTACGAATGTTGTTATAGCTATTTCTTTGTCCTCTATCGACTTTGCGAGTAGCCTGTTCAGATCATCCAGTGCTAAGTCAGTTGACTTGCCTGGCTGATACGCATATTGGCGTTCGTTGAGCGGGTTTCTTTGTAATACCTCGTCTCTTATGTATCTGTCTATCAGTCTTTCCAGCGTTTTGAGCAGGAACGACATTAGACTTATTGGGCGGTATGATTTTGGCGTTTTGTCACCCACCTTTCCCACTTTGGGAAGGTAGATGACTGTCACCTTCTGCCATACTATGGGTATATATCGTATTGCTATACAAGCCTTGAATATACGACACAAATGTGGAATTAGTATTTCCTGCCCCTTTTGAAGCAGGATGGGGTATATTCCATCTACTCCAGGGGATTTATAAGGTTTAAATTTATTAATAGCCCACCTAATTCTGTTTGGCCTCGATATCTCTGTAGCTAGCCTCCATTCTATGGCAGTTGGCCTATTCGGCCTGCCAATGGTGCTGTCTGCCACTATCGGCTCATTTAGAATTACTGAGGCCGGAAAGTGTGCTTCAGTGAGCATTTTCAGACTCTCCTCAAAAGTTGCTGTGTAGGTATTGTCATTCTTCTTCAGAAAACCTACTTGGTTTACAGTACCTTCTTTGGCTAGCACTTTGTGGATCCTTGAACATGTGGGGGTTTCTGTGACCTCCTCACAGAACTTTTTCCACGATTGCCTTTTCGATTTCCTAATCTCTTTGTTGTACTGCGTGAGTTTAACCTTATATGTGGTCCAATTCTGGTCGAGTTTTGCTTTGTTGAATAGCCTTCGCACCTCCCCTCGTAGGGTTTCGAGATGCTTGTTCCACCAGATTGTTTTATTGCTTTGTTGTCTTGTTTTTTCCGGACAGTTACCTTCGTAGGCGGCAACTATTGCCTTGCTTACTTGGTCTACTGACCTCTCAAGACTGTGGCTGTCCCTCATGTCAGCCGTGGTCCTTTGTAGAGATTCTCTGAGTGATGTTGCGTATCCTTCCCAGTTGGTCTCTCTGGGGTTTCTGTACTTTGTTAAGGTACGAGGTGGGGTAATTATATCAAATCTTATTTGTCTATGGTCAGAACACGAAGGTTCATCTGACACATGCCAGTTGACGATATTATCACATGCTTTTTCTGACGAGAGAGTTTTATCTAGAACTTCTTTCCTCGCTGCCGTGACAAATGTTGGTTCGCATCCTACATTAGCTATTAATATCCTTTCTGTTAGTATGAATTGCAAAAGTGACTCACCTCTTATGTTGACGTCTGTGCTTCCCCATACAGTATGGTGTGCATTTGCGTCGCATCCTATGATGAGTTGGAGGTTTGCCCTTGCCGCATATGCCTTCACAGGCCTCCCTCGACGTTGTTGCCCTCAAGGGCTTTGCGGGTTCCTTGCTTTTTAAAAAGTTCTCCTTGATTACCAGCCTCTTGGCTGGAATGTAATCAAGACCCTTTTCTAGGTGGGCTTTAAGCCTCAACCTCGAAGCTCCTCCGAGGTGTGCTATTTTCACCTCATCGTCTGATAGTAGCTCTAGTTCCTCTAGGGAAGATACTACTACCTTGTTTTTGGCTTTTGGTGCTTGCCCTTTTGTGGCCTTAGCACCAGGCGTGCCCGCCTTCTGTCTTGGGTTGGGTGTGGTCACCTCCGCCCTTTTGACAGGTTTTTTGTTTTTATTTTTTGAATCCATTCAGATCCCACGAGTAGCTAGGGAAGTTTTGGTCCGCTACGACAGAGCCCCGCATGCAGTAGTAAGATCTTTGTACTCTGGGATTCGACCCTGTGTCCCAGAGGCTCCGTTCTTGATAGCACTCCCTGCTACCATTCAGTCCTCGGCACGGAAATCTCACACCTTGACTTGGGGGAATTTTTCGACATACCTCGTCTAGATCCGCTGTGTTTAGTTTATGCAGGGTCACCTCGGGCAGGATGCGATTCTACATCGCGCACAGACGGTCTTGGTCATAGCTTCCTCGATAGGTTTGCCCGACCTCCTCTGCTATTCCCCTGGGGTCGGTGGCCATGTAGCCGACCCCTCGACCCCAATTCACATCATGATAGGTATTGAGTTTATTTATGTGTAAAATGGTGGAGTTATTGAAAAAAAATTTCGAGAACCATTATGAAATCTGATGGAAATTATAAATCTATATATTGATGAATATCGAGAATCAACCTTCCAAGGCAGGTCTAGAAATGACATTCACATGTTAACATTATTTTTACTTCTCTAATACCTCAGTAGGAAGACAAAGAAATTCCACAGAGGAACAAAAACAATACTTCCAATAAACTTCGAAGACCTTTTTGGGAATTGTATATACGTCTCAAAAAACATCCTCACGCCAACATTTTCGAAACATCCCAAAACATCCCAGGGATGTTTGTGCTCGCTGGTCAGTTAGTCAGTGGAAGGAAAACAATTTTTTTTATTTATTCATTCTTTAAATAACATACATATCAGCGTACTATATCAATAATAATATACATTTTTTTTATATAATATAAACTTATATAATTCAAACATGATCAAAAAAGTTGAAAACTTGTCCATGATCATGTTATATTTTTTTTCCTTCCACTGACTAACTTAAATTCATTTTCTCATTGAGTACAATTAAAATATCAAATACATTTTTATACTATTTAAAGATAACTATAACTATAAAAAAACATGAAATGTTGTCTATGTATTTTATCATATATAATCAAATTTCCAAAATTTCTGAATTCTCAATCAATCACGGTTTAATTTTTTTCTTGAATCCAAAACAACTGATTTTTTCCAAAGAAAGAGGCAATTTATTGTAATTTTTTTACCTATTTGAGTGGCATGTTGTTGCATTAAAGTTGAAGAGAACTTCTCAGTCGATATCCAACCATCAATTTTATTCTTGGTGTCATATTTATGTTTTACATGATTATAATTTTTGTAAATGTTTTCTTATGTATATTGTTGATGTTTAATAAAACAATTGATCAACAGAAAGAATGTTATAATGTTCAAAGAGGATTTTGGAAGAATAATCAAAAGGTTTTTTGAAGATAACTTTCAAGGTGTATTTTTGAATTGATATAAGTGGTTTCAACGCTTGTTTATATAGACCTCCCCAGCTTATTATGCCATAAGCCAAAATAGATTGAAAAAGACTATAATCAAAACTGATAATTAAATTTCGTCTGACAATATTTCTCAGTAACCTGAATTCAAAGAGTGTTTTCCTTAGTTTCTGAATCAATTCATTAATTTGTTTATGCCATTTGAGCTTGCAATCTAAGTGAATTCCCAAATACTTTACTACATCAATTTTTGTAATATATTCAGCACAATTACATTGCTTTTCATTTTTCAAACATGGCATAGCATGTATCTTCAATTTATCAATCATTTTTGGTTGCATACTCTCATTGAATGTGGTCATAAAATCCGTTTTTTTAAAATTTAAAGTCAGTAGATCATGATCAAGGTTGTTTTTTATGATTGATAAATCAAATTCAGCATTTAATACTGTTTCTTCCCAAGTATTTAAAGTACCTATATACACTGTATCGTCAGCATAACAAAATTAATGTCCTTTTATCTTTGTTTTCAATATATCATTAATGTAAATTAAAAATAGAATAGGTCCTAAAACTGTCCCTTGACACCACATTGTATAATTCTTGTGTTACTTGGAATGTGAATTATTATTAATGTAGGAATTTATATTTTCATTTTGTTTATAATAATTATATTATATTGTTTGCATTGAATTTCATTGTTTCTCCTATGGTGAATTTATATATCACTCGGTGTTTCAATATTCAGTTAGGATTACGTTTTATCGAGAATGATAGTGGTATCCAAGGTTAAGAAATAATAACAAGAAAGGGGCAATTCCGAGAGACGTTCGAAATATACTATTTATGGAAGTTTTGGTTGAGATATTGAAGAATCTCATAGCTGAATAATAGTAAAAGACGAATAAAGACGTGGGGAGCATCTTAGTCGAGCCGCGACGGACGTAAAGAGATCCTTGAAAGGTGAGCAGATCAAGCTCAATATTGTGACGTACTGTCAGTGTTCCTGTGACATTGGTTGTCCGAATAAACACTTTCACTTACCCCCTTGGACTATCATTCACCCTAGACAACATGAAAATCCTACATTAATATAGTACGCTGATATGTATGTCATTTTAAAAAAGGAATGAAATGAAAATAAATCTATAGAAGGCCTCCCACTGGACGTCCAAGTACTACTCAAGTACTGCTCTGTGCCGTGCCTGGTCACCCTGCAGTGCGAGCACAAGTGCGGCGGCACGTGCGGCCAGTGCTTCCAGGGCCGCGTGCACGCCAGATGCCAGGAGAGGTGCGGAGTACCCATGGTATGCAACCACGAGTGTCCCATACCGTGCCGGGAGGCCTGCAGACCTTGCGAGAAGAAGTAAGTAATAAAAAATATACCCAGCAAACTTATTGATATGTGGTGTGATCTTACACCTTGTATAGAGAATGTTTTAATGTTTGAAGGATTAGATTGTCATTGTCAGAGAATTAATTAATTACATCTTTCAGAAGTTAACTTTATTTTCATTGTGATACCATTGCATCTACAGATACATGGGTCATCAGTTTAAGAGCAATGTCACCCCAGTGAACTAACACCCCAGGCAACCAGATGACGTTTCAGTGACGTCTTTTTACGTCAGTTGAATGAACAAGAGGTGACGTCAGGAGTTGACATCGTATGACGTTATAAATGACGTGAATAAGTCACAGCCCAATGACGTCATATCACTCACGTTTATTGACGTCATTCACTCACCAATCTGTGACGTCTAACTGACATCAAAATGACGTTCGAATTTGGTGATGACACGTAAAAAAATTTCCTCGAACATGGTGTGATAATCACCACTGACCTCTGATGACATATAATATTGATTATGCATTGTTGAGTCTGCTTGGTGGTCCCTCCGGTGTCATGTCCATTCAATCGTCTATTCAGCAGCGCTATCCCTTAGTACGCATATCTATCAGAATGAAATCAGTTACTCGTATCTCTATAAAAAATGTGTAGTTTGTGTCGGCGAGATTTGAGCAAACCAAAAATAGTTGGATAGCAATGAAAAGGATGTTGGCGAATTTAGCTTCACTTTTTTGAGTAACGTATATTCATGCATTATTTGTCACCCAACAAAAATGAAGGTAGCAGATTATTGAAAAATTTCTGAATGACGATTCGTCACTGCAACGTCATAAAAGTGGCGGTTTCAAAATAGTTACACCTATATTATTATATGTATATGTACATATATAGCTTGATTGGTATCCGAGATATACAGGGTGTCAAAGTTTGAAAAAGTTTTCTCTGACTATTTGGGCATATTAAATTCCAATAAAACTTGCAAGTTGATTTGTTTTAATGAGTTATACTTCTATCGACGATAGAAGAATATACATTGAATCACCAAGACGTACATGTTTCTATATATGTGTGTAAAATTAATGAAAAACGGTTTTCCTGGAAACTTTTCGACACTGAAAATGCCCATTCTGTATGTATACAGGTACGTCACAAACCTAACGATTTCACATGATAATGTAGGTATACATGGTTCAGATATGGTCTGGAAAACATGGACGTCGACAGGACGTCCCTGCAACGTCATGAAACTGACGTCTTATTTTACCCTTCTAAGTGACGTTCACTCGACGTCAAGATGATGACGGGATTATCACGTCATAGAAAGTACGTCATAATGACGTCATGAATTGGTGTGTGACGTCTCTGACGAAAAATCACCAATTGGGGACGTCACAATGACGTGATCATGCGTCATCTGGTTGCCTGGGACTGGCTTAATATTGGCATTTTTCAATGGTAAATCTCAGAAGTTGCTCACTGGCCGACTTAACGCCAATATTGCGAAGCAATAGTACTTCCATATTTATTGAGTATTCATTGTTGGCACAGTGATGACTAACTGACGTATTTTCAGTGCATTCCCAATGAAAATTAAGTGGTTTATTCTCACACCGAGAATTTTGAGGATATGTATAGAAATAGTTATTTATTATTCAAAAAAGTAGTAGATTATAGCTCCAAGTTGTGTTGTCTCCCGACTCGTAGCGGAGGGAGACAAAAAACCGTGAGCTAAAATCTAATATTTTTCCCGTGTATAATACACTATTTTTTTCTGTCACAGAAGAAAGGATGAATCAATATTGAGAAAATATTACATTATTTTGAAATCTGAAAATTATCGACGTGAAATTTTAAGTTTTTAACAGTGTCCCACCTGCGTTGTAGGCATCTTTATCATTCTTTTAAAGTAATCATATATCTGATGTTACTTCTGTCGGTCTAATTCTGTAATTTGATTTCAAAAAATTGCGAATTTAGTGGTTGTTTTGTAATATACGTAACCGCGAGTCGAATGGAAGATAAAAGGAGTTGCAGTTCTTTCTCGGAGACGGTATTATTGACTCATTTTTCAGAACTATAGCACAACAAAAGCCATCAATAGTGTATATATATATGTGATATTTATCCGGGAATGAAGTAATTTATGAAAAGTGAGATTTTATAACCTGCCAACAGAGATGAAATGCCAAACTTATTTCCCGCCACAGAAAAAATATTATTTTACTGATATAATAAAAATAACTATAATAAAACTTCTCGTATTCAGGTATGTATCCACATCTGATCTGGTCAATCAGCCAAAAGTTCAAAAATTTTGATTCGTTGATTGATATTGTGATTTATCGAATATCTGTAAGATGACCAAAACTCGAGAACTCCTCTTCTTTGTTATCTGGATTGACCTATTTGTGAATTTCAAGTAACCTATAAATCACAACTGTATATTACCTAGCCTGCTGCAACAATAGTCAGGTGGAAATAAAGTCTCAAGTCTGAGGTAGAAGTAGATTGCTTTTAGAACTGAAACTTCATTGAACTAATGGTAGAGATATCTATACTAACATATCACGATGGATGTTCTTGAAGAAGAATATCAGTTTATATAACTAAATTCGTTAGGTATTTCGATTCGATGAGAATGAATAATGCTTTTATACAGAGTGTCCCATAAGTAATGGATCAAAAGAGATGGGGTGGTAGGGGGGGGGTCATTTGTAATCAAACTAACGGTATATGCTGATATCAAATTGTTGATGGTTCAAAAGTTCTCAAATTTTTTTGAAAAATGCGACTCATTCGAAAAAAATTACTAACAAAAAGGCTGTTTTGAATAACCCCAAATGTTATACCATTTCGGAATCTGTATTAAATGGGCAACAATTTCATATGATTGGTTATCTTCGTGCGGGATAGTTTTTGAATCTGCCAGCGGCATTTTAAAATCGACTAAAATATTTCATTCGATGACAAAATTCAAGGAAAACAACATTTTTCTCAGGTAATTGATGAGAAGTAATACATGTCATAAAATCATTTCTGGTGAAAGGTTCATCCATGTGGATGAAATTCGTACAAGAAAAAATCACAAGTGTGACAGTTTTATTGTAATTAATCAATATTATAGAAATGAAAAAACATTAATAACTTTTGGACTATCAACAATTGGATAACCACATATACAGTTAGTTCGATTTGAAATGACCCCTCCTACCACCCCACTTCTTTTGATCCTCAACTTATGGTACACCCTGTATATCTTTCCATTTATTCACTTGTTCCCTTGACATCTCACAATAACAAATGACGGCTCATGCGCAAAAGGATAGAAAACATATAATGGAAGACCTAGTGAAGATACATCAATTGTCTATTGTCGAAGGTGTAATCTGGATTCACCTAAATCCATAGGGAATATACTATTGTACCAGCACAATGAAAGTGCAACATAAGCATTTTACGAGGTATTATATAATACAGTGTGTCCCACTTACCATGCTCACCATGGGTATCATTTTAACGGTGAGAGATACGAGGTCGGTTAAATGACACCAAATGCGGAGTTTGTGAAGGCCAACTATAATGTGAAAAAATATTTTGATAAAATCTATTCGTTTTTGTTTTATACGCAAAAAACAGATTTTGATCATTTTCATGTCTCCTACGTAACTTCTTTATTTATGAAAATATTCAAATAGGAATTTCACATTCTCATGGCAGTTTTTCAAAGTGATTTCGAAAAAAATATGAAATTTATACCAACTCTTATAGAATTTGAGATATTAGCACCAACTTTAGTTTTTCAAATGTAGGTCATAGCTCACTATGACTTAGTTACAAATAACTTTTTTTCTCTTACAGATGATATGTCGCAGTAATAGTTTTGTGTTGACAACAACGGAGTTATCGTCATTTATACAAAAACAAAAAATTACTTGGAAGCCGCCATCTTGAATTTATAAATTTTAACAAAAAAATCATGATCTGCGACCTCAAAAACCCCCACTTACCAATATTTTTCAACAAAAATTCTATAACTCCGATTAACTTGAAATTTGGCAGGTGGTAATAATTTCGGTGACAATACATTATGGAATTTTTGTTGAAATTGAAAAGAAAATGACTGCTCCAAGATGGCGGACAAGATTTGGTCCGATTCCATTCAAAACTGGTAAGTGAGGGTTTTTGAGGTCGGAGATCATGATTTTTTTATTAAAATTTATAAATTCAAGATGGCGCGGCTTCCAAATAATTTTTTATTTTTGTATAAATGACGATAACTCCGTTGTTGTCAACACAAAACTATTACTGCGACATCTCATCTGTGAGAGAGAAAAAAAGTTATTTGTAACTAAGTCATAGTGAGCTATGGACCTACATTTGAAAAACTAAAGTTGGTGCTGATATCTCCAATTCTAGAAGAGTTGGTATAAATTTCATATTTTTTTCGAAATCAGTTTGAAAATCTGCCATGAGAATGTGAGATTCCTATTTGAATATTTTCATAAATAAAGAAGTTACGGAGGAGACATGAAAATGATCAAAATCTGTTTTTTGCGTATAAAACAAAAACGAATAGATTTTATCGAAATATTTTTTCACATTATAGTTGGCCCTGACAAACTCCACATTTCGTGTCATTTAACCGACCTCGTATCTCTCACCGTTAAAAAGATACCCATGGTGAGCATGGTAAGTGGAACACACTGTATACTGGTACAATGAACTCTCAGTTAATTGTACCAGTGTGTTTGAGAATGTTGTGAAAATCTTATCGTTTGTGAAGTTTTTACATTTGCCATGGATTTTCATCAAGTAACGGCCGAGTCAATTCAAAAAATGAAAACAATCCGTATTTACGAATCCCGCCTTACTTTTTCACATATTATGGAATACAGATAGAGATTGTTTGTATTTCTATATTCCAGCAGAGCAAACTTGGAATCTGAGTAGGTATCATAAGCAAATAATATTTTCATCCGAATTTGTTTCAGTCTAAGACTTGTTTAGTTCTTAACTCATTTTGATAACTACGAATTATAGCTAATCTCACGGAAAACACTGATTGACTTGTTCACCATAATAGACAACAAACAAAATGGCTGGAATGTATTTGAATTGACTTCAGACAGTTGTCAAGGTTACTTTGCCGTTGAAAGAATACCTATATCATCCCCATGTATCCTGTATACATTTAAGCTAAGTTATAAGGTGTTGAAACGAAAACGTTGCACGAATAACATAACAACTCTGTCTGATATATATCTGAACAACCTAAAATCAACATAATACAGTTAATTATTTCGATTTGATGAGAATGAATAATGCTTTTATTACTGGGTGATGCATTTCCAATAAGAACACGGACTTGTGCAAGCAGATCTACACAAGAAAATTCATGTAAACTCGTTAAACCCATCCATGCTGTTGATCTCCCACCCACGCCAAGTGTCGTTGAGTCATATTCGAGTAACCTGTCAACCTATTTAACACCATCTGATCAACCATCTGATCAACCATCTGAAAATCAAAATTCAACATCGATATATCTCCGATACAGCGATGAAAATTGTGAATACTGGTTCAATGACTGTCCAATATCCTGGAAGAAATTTGGTCTTAACGGCTTGAGAAACACTGGGAACACGTGTTTCATGAACAGTATCATTCAATGCATGTCTCACACTAAGTGGTTGTTGGAGTATTTGATGATGGACTTATATAACGGAGATATCAACACGAGCATATCCAGCACGAAGGGATATTTGATGAAGGCTTTCGCAGAAGTCATGAAAGAACTGTGGTCGAAAGATTCGACTGACCAAGGTGTCAATATGAACTCTTTGAAGTGCACAATCCAAAAATTGGCGCCGTGCTTCATCGGTAATGCACAGCAAGACGCACATGATTTCATGCGCTCTCTGCTCTTGGGTTTGCACGAGGATATCAATAAGGTCATCGAGAAGTCCGATTCTGAGTTCACAGATATCGAAGAAATTGTGGATGTCAACGAAAAGGCTTTGGAATCGTGGTCGAGATTCTTGAAAGTGGAGAATTCGAAGATAGTCAATAATTTCGTTGGTCTGCTTAAGTCTTCATTGAAATGCACGTATTGCGGCTATTCCTCAGTGACGATCCCTTTTGGGATTTGTCATTGCCAATACCACAGCGAACGCGCCAACTAAGTTTGTTCCATTGCTTGGACTCATTTACCAGAGTGGAGTCATTGGATGGCGAAGACAAGCCTACTTGCTCCAAATGCAAGGAAAGGCGAAAATGTACAAAGTCATTATCTATCCAGAGGTTTCCTGAAATTCTTGTCTTCCATCTGAAACGTTTTTCGCTGGATCTGTTCGTAGAGAAACTGAACGTCACAGTTGATTTCCCTTTAGAAAAACCGGATATGAGCTATTACGCAGCCGATGGAAGTGTACCGTTCCCCTACGATCTATATGCTATTTCAAACCATAGCGGTACCATCAACAGTGGTCACTATACGGCCTACTGTACTGTACATCCGTACTCGGACATCTGGCACTAGTTTAACGATTGTCGTGTTTCTTCAATTTCATCAGATTCGATCATCAGTAACAAAGCGTATTTACTATTTTATCAAAAAAATACCCAAGTTGTAACAGCCACCACTCCCACAAGCAATGGCTGCTCTTCGAGCACCAAACCAGATCAATTCTTAAATACCACCCAGTCGCAAGACAACACCAAGATTATCCTTGATGATTCCAGGAAAAGTTTTGCTTCGGATCTAGGTATCAACCAATACCTAGTTCGAAAGATGGATGTGGGATCGTCAAATTCAGTCTCATCTACTGAGCCAAAACCTAGGAGGAGAGCAAGTCCCAAAAAAAAGCCTTTCAAAAATGAACAAGAACTCTTGGTGAATAGGCCAGCACATCATGAATCAGGCAGGCCGAAACGCACCTGTGTTGGTCAATCTTCTCAGCATGAAATCGCCGGCCAGCACTCTGAAGATTCACAAGAATCGAGGTCCTATAACAAGTTGTATTAAAAACAATTAAATGTTTGTATTTGTGTTTTGAATTTCAAATTATATATTTATGGCCATGAAAAAAAAACATAATACAATATTGTCTAATAATATTGTTTTCAATATTGATGCAACTTCTCATAAACCTTTTACTTCATAATATTATGTTGGATACTTCAGAAGGACATTATCGCAATGTTATTTCAACAATATCACAAAACATATCTGAAAAATATTTTTGTTATGTATCATGTTGAGTAGGAGTCTCCTTCATATATTTTTTTTCTAGATGCACGTACAAATGCGACCACAGCCACTGCACCAAGAAATGCGGAGAGGTGTGCGTCCCATGCGCAGAAAAGTGCTCAAGGAAGTGCCCACATCAGAAATGCGACAGGAAGTGCAGCGACATCTGCTTGGTGAAACCGTGTACTAAACCATGCCCTGAGAAACTGATATGCCGTCACCAATGCGTTGGGTTCTGCGGGGACCCGTGCCCCAAATTGTGCAGAGTTTGCGATAGGGAAGAGCTGACAGAGATATTGTTTGGGACTGAGGATGAGGAGGACGCCAGGTAGGACTTGATGAGTGATAACAGTGCGAGAACATTTCTATTGTTGTCCCAAAGTTGTTTCTGAAATGATATCAAGTTTTTTTTATTCCTGAAATTTGACCCTTCACCTTGCCTATTTGATCAATAATTACCATCACCATCACCTACCCTATCAACAACTTCTCGATACAGGGTCTAAAATAGGAACGATCCTCAGAATGGGTAATAGAAGACGAAAAAGAAAAAACAAAACGAAATGAACAAATACATGATTCGTCGACCTCTACAAAAAATCACATCTAAAAATCTACTGATATATGACCTACTGAAAAATATGTGGACACTTATTTATTATTATAATTACCTACATTATAATAATAATAATCCCAAGAAACATACAATGTTTATAGAGGGAAACAAAAAAAATAAAATAAAATCAAATATGCAATACAATGAAAGATAAACAGTTCAATCAGAATTAATTGATACAAGGAGAGAGTTGAATTGATAAAATATATTTCTTCAGTTCACACTTAAATTCTGTGACGAACCTAATAGATTTTATTCTGTTGGGTAGACTATTATAAATATTTATTCCACGAAAATACAATGATTTTTTCCCGAATCGGGTTTTTATTTTGAAAGTTTTCAAAATAAATAAATAATAAATAAATAAATAAGAACTTTATTGGACATATCAAACGTATACAAAAAAAAAAGGTTTTCCCAAAGTTCGATAAAAACGATAAGTACCTATTGGTACTTGTTTCGTTATACAAAATGGAATTACAACATTGAATAAATATATGAAAAAAACAAAGTAAGTATATAAGTATAAATAAGATATGTTGAAGATAAAAATAAGATAGGTTGAAGATAAAAAGACACAGCAATACGAATACATTCCAGATTAAAATAGTGATGATTATTTAAAAATATAAATTACCCTAATAATAAAATTTTGTTCATTCACCTGTATGTATGGCATATTTGACAGTCATTCAAATATACGATGAACTTCGATTCTTTGTGTTTTGAGTAGATATTTTTTCAACACAGATCAAGATGGCGACAAGTGAATAGTTCGTTTCGGTCGCTCTCCTAATTTCCTATTTAGTAATAGTACCCAGGTGTTAAAGTGATATAATTTACATATGGTTGTGAAGTACTAAGTGCTCTTTATCGAATAGTGCAAGTATTCACATCTGAAAATCAAAAAGTCAGCCGTGTTTGAAATAAACGTGAAAATCTGAACATCAAATTGAAGATAAGAAGTATCCCAGGAGCAAAGCTATTTGGCAGAAGTGCGCAAATCAATGCGCGAACGATCACTCGCTATCTCACTATCTACACCGTATAGCAGTGGCAGATCGTAGCTCAGAAAAGTAAACAAAACGTAGCGACTGAAGCGAGTCAGTCATCACGAATCGCTCGACGTGATGCCGCAAAACTCCAAATCCATTAGTGCGTCGCAATCCACCAGAGATTTACGATCGAATACCGGAGACTCCACAATGGCCGAGGCTCAAATTAAACAAATCATTCAACAGGTCTCGAGCAACATTAATGCCAAACTAGATGAGAAATTCGATAAGTTACAGTCGAATCTAATAACTGCCCAGAAAACAATTGAACATAACACAAAACGAATCCAACACATTGATCATAGGGTAGATAACCTGGAACAACATGTACGGAAATGCAATTTGCGAATTTATGGGATGAAAGCATCTGATCACAACACACCAGCACAAACAGTGGCAGATTTCGTAAAAAATCAACTGGAAATCAAAAATTTCACTATTAACGATATTGAATTTTGTTACAAGTTGCCTAACAATGCAATTTTTGTAAGGCTTTCTGAGTACAGAAACAAACGAATTGTTTATGATGCGAAGAAAATGCTCAAAGGTACCAAAATTATTATCAGGGAAGATCTAACACCATTTCGATTGAAAGCCGTAAATGCAGCTGCGAATAAATATGGCTCGAAGAACGTTTGGACCATAGATGGGAACATCAGAATCAAAATCGACAATGATATTACTAAACCAACCACTCAGGACCTTGAGAAACTCATTGAAGTAAAAGATGAGTGAACTTTCATTCGATTATGTTTATCACTGGACAACTCTGTTTATAATATTTTCGTATTTCTTTTTCTTTTTTCTATTGTTCCTAACCGCTATGGGGAAATAAATGATATTAATTTTTGTGATTTGAGACATACTCTGGTTCACATGTTCGACTTTGATTATGTCTGTCACTGGTCAACTGTGTTTACAATATTTTCGTACTTCTTTTCATTTTATTTTTCTATTATTGCTAACCGCCATGGGGAAATAAATAATATTATTGTTTTGTTATATGAGGCACACTCTGATGGTTCACACTGTTAGACCTAGTTTGTTGATATCCAACGTTGTTTTTCAGGTCATTGATATAATAATATGTTTATATATTTCTGTATATGAATTCTATTATTCATTTATAATTTTATTTATAATATTCTCCTCTCATTCCTGTTAATAACCATCTCATTACCTGGATGTCTTTTTTTACCACTGTTATTTTAGGTTAAGAATAGGTGATTTGGAGAAACACTGTCATGTACTTCACTGTTGCCACTTTGAATGTTAGATCACTGTTCACCGGGTTCGACCACTTCAAACAACTGATTGGAAGACATGATTTTGATATTGTAGTGATAACTGAAACATGGTTATCAAACAATATTTCAGCTGAGCTTGTGAGTATTGATGGATATAATATGATACGCCAGGATCGTATAAAAAGGGCAGGGGGAGTGGCTATGTACTACAAAAATAATATACATGCAACTAGAATCCAAACTGACTGTGAAGAAAGTGCTCTGGAGCACCTGTGGGTGAGTTTCAAAGTGAGCAATTCTAGTATTGCCATTGGGGGACTGTATCGACCACCAAACACAAAAGTTGCGGACAGTATAAAAACACTGGAGAATACTCTTCCTATAGTCTTACCCCAAGTAGATGATATAATTATAGCGGGTGATATAAATGTGAATTTCCTAAACACTACGAATAGTAATACCATCGAATTCCAGAATTTTCTAGAAGCTTATGGCTTGTCAGTTATGAATAATGAACCAACTAGGGTGACGAACATAAGCAGTACTCTCATTGACATTATAGCTGTGAGCAACCCCGATTTGGTGATCGATACACATACCTTGAACGCAGATGAGATATCTGACCATTGTCTGGTATATACTGAATTAAAATATCACAATACAAAACAAAAACAGTTCTTCAGAACATTTCGTGATTTCAAATACTTCTGTTATGAAGATTTCGTAGAGGATTTGACTCGCATGCCCTGGTATGATCTCTACCTTTTGGATGATGTAAATGATGTTGTAAATAGATTTAATACTTATCTCACTTCTCTCTTTGATGTACATGCACCGAAAAAAACGGTCAGAATAGGTAAAAGTAAATCACCATGGCTAACAGATCCTTTAAAAATAATGATAATAAATAAAAACAATGCAATGGCTAAATATAAACGAACAAGAAATTTGAATGATTGGAATTCCTATAAAAATTTAAGAAACATGGTAACAATGGCAATCAGGCGAGAGAAAAAAGGATATCTCAATTTTGTACAAAAACAAAATGACTCAAAGAACTTATGGAATACCTTACAATTATTTGATATTGTCAAAAATAAAAATAAATGTCTGATACCAGATCATTTAAAAAGTCCTGAAGAACTGAATGATCATTTTATCAAATCAGTAAATAATGTAGTCTCTGTGCCTTCTGCACACACAAAAGAATATTACAGAACAAATACTTTCAATCCAGATCTGACATTTCACTTAGAACCAATCACAGAAGAGAAAATTGAGCAAATTATTAACAATATTAAATCAAACGCAATTGGTTATGATGAAATCTCTTTAAAAATGATAAAGATATGCATTCCTTATCTAACACCAGTTATAACTCACATGATAAATAAGTGTCTCATGGAAGGTACATATCCTGATGCATGGAAAAAATCACTGATAATTCCTATAAACAAAAATAATAAACCTGAAAATTTCTCGGACATCAGACCTATAAACATATTACCTACTATATCAAAAATTCTAGAAAAATGTGCCTATGATCAAGTGTATGACTACGTCAATAAAAATGAAATTTTACCGGCACACCAGCATGGTTTCAGGCCAAACCATAGTACAACCACTGCCCTCGTAGGAATAACGGATTCTATTATTGAAAATTTTGATAAAAACAAGGTGGAGTTAGTAGTGTCTGTTGATTACAGCAAGGCGTTTGACACAATGAATCATAATCTGCTTTACTTAAAACTCAAATATTACGGTTTTGACCACACATCTATTTCATTGATAAAAACATTTTTAAATGGGAGGACTCAGTGTGTAGCCATAGAAAATAGGAAATCAACAGAGCTAGAAGTGACACATGGAGCCCCTCAAGGGTCGGTTCTCGCCCCCCTCCTCTTCACTATATATACCTCGGATCTATCAAAATGTCTAGAAAAATTCCAGATTCAAACATATGCCGATGACACAATTTTATATTATGCTGATGATGTAGATAATCTCATTGCCAGTGAAAACAGTCTCAACAATGATATCAAGAATTTAATAACGATTTCACAAAATCATTCACTTATTATTAATCCCACTAAATCATCAGCAATAATTTTTGGTAGCGCTAAAGATCGCCAGAGGGCCATAGATAATATATCACTTCAGGTTGATGGACAATCGGTATCATTTAATGATACAATAAAATGTTTAGGACTACTGATTGACCACAATCTGAGATTTGTTAAACATGTTAATAATCTTATTCGACGCTCTTACGGCTTATTAAAACATATATACTCAAACAGACATTACCTTAATAAGAAACTGAAGATAACTTTATGTGATACACTGATTCTATCGATTTTCAACTACGGCGATATTGTCTATGGCCCTTGTCTTGATCTTGTAACCTCAT